TCAGAGTAATTTAATTCAATTTAATTCAATCCTTGAATTATTGAATAATTATAAAATTACAGTTTTATTCTCCCAGTCATGCACATATTAACATCATACACTATCACCTTGCTTGGGTTACACAAAGCAATATATGAATTGTAAATAAAATATGATTGCTAGAGATAAATAATGATCAATATTATAATTCTAATGTCTGTCAAAACAATCTTTTATATTGGTGGATACAATGCTCAGACAAAGATTCTCATCTTTGAGAATCTTGAGAACAAACATAAGCACAAAGACCAGATGTATGTCTTTGGAATTAATTCTGTCCACTATCCAACTGGGATTTATCAGTATTTTAGATAACAAATTTGCCAAGTTCTAGGCAAAAGGATTATAGGAATTGATCCTCAGATCTTTTGCATACCAAGCTTGTATCTGTTTTTAAGAACCTTTCCTTATTTTTAATTTTGATACAATTACAGACAGAAAATAATATCTTATTTGTCATGAAGATATTGCTTGTTCTTTCAAAATGGTTTAGAAATCAGACACATCATTATTGAAAATCTTAAATATTCCACTAATAAAAAACTAAAATATTTTTTCCCAAATAAATAGTTGAGCTGTACAGTTGTAATCATATGCAGCGTTGTTTACAAAAATAGCTTAGTATTTCTTCTGAAACTGTTATTAGCACCTGTCTCATGGCCAGGGCTAGAAGAAAAATCTTCAGATGCTTAGATTATTGTGCTTTGGCTAGCTATTAATAGAACAGAACAGAATAGAATAACAGAGTTGGAGGGGACTTTGGAGGTCTTCTAGTCCAACCCCCTGCTTAGGCAGGAAACTCTGTACCATTTCAAACAAATGGTTGTCCAATCTCTTCTTAAAAACTTCCAGTTTTGGAGCATTCACAACTCCTGGAGGCAGGTTGTTCCACTGATTAATTGTTCTAACTGTCAATAAATTTCTCCTTAGTTCTAGGTTGCTTCTCTCCTTGATTAGTTTCCATCCATTGCTTCTTGTGCTGCCCTCAGATTCTTTGGAGAATAGCTTGACTCCATCTTCTTTGTGGCAACTCCTGAGATATTGGAACACCCCTAGTCCTTCTTTTCATTAAACTAGACATACCCAATTCCAGCAACTGTTCTTTATATGTTTTAGCCTCCAATCCCCTGATTTTTGTTGCTCTTCTCTGCACTCTTTCTAGAGTCTTTTTACATTGTGGTGACCAAAACTGGATGCAGTATTCCAAGTGTGGCCTTACCAAGGCATTATAAAGTGGTATTAACACTTCATGTGATCTTGATTCTATTTCTCTGTTAATGCAACCTAGAACTATGTTGGCTTTTTTGGCAGCTGCAGCACACTGCTAGCTCATATTTAAGTGATTGTCCACTAGGACTCCAATATATTAGGCATAATGGTTTACCTTTACTTCTGGAAATCCCACATGGATGATAAATTTTTAACTTAGTTGTGAAATTTAGCTAATTCCTTGAAAACCTACAGTAAATCTTTTGGGTAAAGGTGACACAAGACTAGCTATGAAATTGTAAATATAGCCTCCATATTTTGATCAATGAAGGCCAATGTATGGCTATTAAGTATTAAAACTGTTACAGATTTATTTATTTATTTTAGATTTAGAATAGGAAATCATTTATTTCTAAATAAATAAGAGAGCCATAATCAAAATGTACACTAAGTTAATGAGTATTCTTAATTTTTATAGTTGAGTTTTAGAAAAGGACTAACCACTGCTACCTATGATAATGTACTATCCTGGTTGGGAAATAGCTTAGGAAACCTATAATTTAGGAAAGGGAGTAAAGTGATGACATGAAATTAGGAAGAAGAACTAACTGTCATGGTTCCAGTAGATGAGACCAATTAAAAGAACTTCAAGGCAAGGAATTCTTCCTCAAAGAACATTTTTATTTGGCTACAAAATAACGGTACATACAAAGGTGAACCCAAGACTAAATTCCCCTCCCCTTTGATTACAAAGTTGGAAGTTGCAATTCCCACCCCAATTAGAAGTCATAAATCACATTCACCAATTGTTAGTAAATATGGGCACTTCTCCCAGATCTCCAGCCCGACAAAATGTTATCAGTAATGACCTTGGTTCCCATATATGAGAATTGTTATGGCTAACTTAAAACTACACTTCCCCCCTCCTTTCTTTCTAAATATGTGGCAACCAAAAACAAAGTGAAAATAGCTTCAGTTCAGTTTGTTGCAGTGTTGACACTAACATTTCAAGAAAACTGAAATAAAACTCAACAGATAAAATTCAATTAAGTATCAAACTACTGACAAAAGTCTTTCATTAACCCTGTCTTCCTACAAATATGGAACTTGTGGCAGTTTGTGGTATCTTCTGATCACTATGCTGTTTTTCTCATCATATTCCAATTTGTTTTTAATGTATCAAAAAATTGGTGGTCAATCTGTTTTTTTAATTTGCTCTGCATCTAAAATCAATGAGACTGGCCTCACACTTCTCATACTCTGTTCCTCATTGAAGGAAAGGGAAATAAGGGTTACCAATGAAAACAGTAATTTACTAGAAACCTGCCAGAGCTTCTACTCTTAGAAGGTAAACCTATCCCCTCCCCCAAAAAACCCCTCCATTCATGCCTCTTGAACAGAGATGTAACATGCCTCTTTGATATACTATTGTGTACAGCAATAATTCGAAATATAATTAAAGCCTAGGTCTTATAGCAACTTTTATCAAATAATATAACTTGGATTATGGAGTTTGTAGACTAGGATTATTCAGTACTCCAAAAATCATGTTTAAACTCTTGGTTGCAGATGAAATCTATTAATTTTAGCAAAATTCACAGCAACTTATAGATTGAAGCAATATAAAAAGAAATCAGGGGAAAAGAAATAAGGAACATCAGGAAATCTTAAAGAATACAATAGACTACAAAAATTCTATTTATATGAAAAGTTTTAACTGTGAATGTATAGTTTATAAAAATAACTAGTATGACCTATATTGAAATGCAACATCATGTATTTTTCTGTAACGAAATTATTTCATGCATAAAAGCAGAAAATGCTATTGTACTCAGTGTGTTAAACACTTGACATTTTCTAAAGCAGAAAATGCAACATTTCAGAAATCTAGATATGTTTATTAATTAGTGATTATTAACACCCAGTAAACAACATTATGTCTTGTAAAAACACAATCTTTCTTCACAGCATGGAGTTGAAATCTATTATTCACTGATTCTATATGCTAAAATACACTCAAATGATCACAAATGACCTTAAACATTAGATAAATGTAAATGAGGACATTGTTCAAAATGTGTTTTGATTGATATCTAAAAGACCAGGTTGGAAATCTTGTCAAGAGATGGTCCTACATATACTGCATGGCAATTTGAAACCTACAGAATATATGGGTGCATAAAAATATCTAAAAAGAGGCTTATTCACAATGAACTGAAACCTCAGATCTTCTTGGAAATGAAATTTGAATGTGTTTGTATGTGTGTATTTATAGTATATATAATCTCACACTGTATATTCTAAACACAGAAACATATACACATTTTATATTTGGCAAGAATGGCAAGAATAAATGAATAAGTAAGTGATCATACAAATCTCAAAATATCAAATTATTGATATAGCACCAAAATTTTAATAAATATCGGTTGCAGGTGGCAATGATACTGCAATGTGAATGCAGATATGTTTTTTCCCAATTTTTCTTCAATCTTTACAACCTCTGGTTTGAAAGTGAAATATTAGGCAGATATCTATAAAAAAGGATTCAGCTGCAGTGGATCATCAAATTTAGAACAGAATTACTGAAATCCACTAACTTAAATCCTACTCTTTTTAGTGATTCATAACTATGAATCAATCTTAAGCCAACCCATCATCTTTTGATTATTCTATGTTCAACATAAGCACACATATCTATTCAAAAATAATCTTTGAAGCTTTGAGTTCAATATCCTTATTACCAAGTAATTGTATTGAAAAAAAACATATGCAGGGAAAAAACAGATTAGCAAGAGAACCTTGAGAAATGAGAACATGGAGTGACACTACAGAAATGGAGTACGTAGTCAATCATTATCTGAAAATTGTTTGCTTGTTAACCACTTTCCACTTTGTTCAACATTATCTAGAAACAGATACAAATCTGTCTGAAATGAACTGAGCTAATGTTTCTTGATAACTACATGGTTAGATTTAGGAAGCTATTATCCATTGTTTAATTTCATCAAGGCATATGTAATAAATAGCATTAAGAGCATAGGGACATCTGGATCAGAACAATGGCCTAGAGGCCAAGATCATGTTAGCCAGTATCCTTGTGGAATCACTTAGAGGTAGGAAAATAAAAACCAAGGAAATTGCTTTATATCATTGATTTGACTAAAAAATAATGTCTATAGGAATTGGCAATAGCTTTCCAGATTATGGACAGATTTTTTCAGGTTTATCTTGAAATGTTTGAGATTGAGTTTGGGATGCAATGCATGGGTTAAGCAATCCCTGAGCTTTGCTTGTTTCTTCATGGGGTACAGTTAAATAGAGAAAAATTCTTTCTCAAGTTCAAACATAATTTGTATCCTGTTTGTGAATAGATACATAAAAAGGTAGCTTAAAATATTAATATATAAACAAAGTTCATAATTCTGTCCTAAATGATAATAGTTCCTCATACTATATGTATAAAAATGTTTTTACCTGCAGCTGACATAATTCACACCTTGCAAAACATACATGAAGTAAAGCAAATATTTTTGTAAGTTCACTTTTCAGAACTTAAAAAAAAATCATACAGATGCACACAGATATGCATGGGTAGTCATTATATATATCGCACAATTGATTTATAATTTTTGTTTGATAAATCTGATTTTGAATGAGAATCAAGCAAGTTTTCAAGCAAGCTAGCACTTCATTTCACTTTAAGAGTAGTAATATAAAATAATAGGCATGAAGAATATGAAATATCTTACCTGCTTGAGATAGCTTTAGCTCTGAGCACTCCAGCTTTTTTATTTCTTTTGATGATATCACATACATCTATAACATAGGTTAAGAATTATCTGTAAATATGTTCCAATCAAGTATCCTTTTTTCATAGTAACCATTTTCAACACAATAGGGCTCTTGAAAATTGTTAATTCATTGTACGTATATGTCCACTGTGCTACCCTTCACTCATGTATATGAATAAAGAATTCTTAAGGAAGTCTTGCTTAACTTTACTTAATTTATTTACTTCAGTACTATTTTTTGATTAATTGATTAACTAGCTATATCAGAGATGTTGTTTAAAGTAAAATAGATGAATCTGCTGATTTAAAATAATTTCAGATAAATTTCTGCAGGTTTTTTAAATTCACACAAAGCATAACAACAACAACAACAACAATAATAATAATACAAAAAACTGCGCTACTCGGAACATCTTACATTTTAAGGAGGTACCTGGTTGAAACCTAGGATGCTGGCAGCAACCCGTGTCAACCATCAGCGCCAGTCAATTTGAATGTTCAGTTGACTGAGGTTCACGTCTAATGAATAATAATAATAATAATAATAGAGTTGGGAGGGACCTTGGAGGTCTTCTAGTCCAATGCCCTGCTCAGGCAGGAAACCCTATACCATTTCTGATGGTTGTCCAGTCATTTCTTAATTTTAATTTTCTGATATACCTTTTCTAGAAATGTAGTTTTTGTAAATACGTGTCCCATTAACATGCATCTAAGCATTCTTTGTCCTAACATTTACAATTATGTGAGCACTTGTCCTTAGGTTTAGGGCCTTTTGCTTCTCTTTAGTTGTAAAGTATGCTGAACAATTTGGAATAGGGGAATAATGATTACAGTGTACACATGTATTCCAATTTGTCTATAGGTAAGTTCTAGACCAGCAGCTCCCAAACATTTCTATACCCCACACCCCTATAATGCTTCTGATATATTCTCATGCCCCTTACAAAAGTTCAAAATAACGGCAATGAATTATGCATATACATTATAATTTTGAAAGCCTAAATTTTTGCACCCCCTGGAATATCGTCGAGCACCCCCAGGGGGTCCGAGCACCCCCAGTTGGGAACCCCTGTTCTGGATTGAATGCACAAAAAACAGCAACTTGGTTGAAGGACTAGATCTGTGTAGTTCCTAGATGGAATAAAAGCAGGATGATAGCATTATTTATTCAAACATAATAGCAATAAGAACAATGACCCAACATACAAAACCCGAATTGAGAAAACAGCAATTGCCACCTCTGCAAAAAAGCTGAAGAAACAGAGAACTACCTACTTACAGTAGCTGACTACAAACAATCGCATGACAAAGTAGCAATAATGATACACTGGAATATTTGCAATAAATATCATTTGCCTAATAAATACTATTGGCATTCAAACAAGCACCTGCCACATAATACCCTAGACTTAACAATTGTTAATAAGAAAGACAAAAAAGTCTGAATAGTGGACGTGGCAGTACCTGTAGACAGCAGAATAGAAGAGAAAGAATTGGAGAAAATTGCAATATACAAACACCTGCAAATAGAAGTAGAACAACAGTGGCAAAAGAAAGCAAAGATAGTACCAATAGTGATAGGTGCTTTGGATTCAATCCCATAAGATCTGGAGCACCAGTGTGAACACCAGTGACACTGACAAAATCACCATTAGTCAATTGCAAAAGGTAGCTTTCCTTGGAATTGCTCAGGGCCTGTGATTATAACTTTAACAACATTTCCATATCCAAAGTTCTTGGAAAGGAGTTGATAGATAGTTAAAAATATCAAACCCAGTCTAAATGTCTGGCTGGCTTTGCAACGAACCTTGATAATTTGGATATGAAAGCATTGTGTTAGATTTTATCTCACTTTTCATTTAAGGAGGAAGAAATGTTTCCTTTAAGCTGATATCCTGTCATAGTCAGAACTAATTCTTTCTCCCTGTTCCCCCATCCAGCCAGAACTGATGAAGCTTTTTGGATGAGAAGTGAAATGACTTCTTCCTCAAGAGAAAAGGGGGGAAAAACATACTCCAGTTGCCTTTTGAAAAAGAACCTTTGAGACATCCTTTCCATATGGTTTTTCTAAAATGGTGTGTGCTTCAGTGGGAAAAAATTGTTTTAAACTTGTAAATAAATTTCTGATTTCAAATCATTTGCAATTGATCTAATTTCCCAATTTCATGAACACCTACACTGGAAAAAATTAATGGAAGCCAGATTTTAAATCAAACTTGAATGTAAAATATTTTAATGGAGTCAATGAGAAAGAAGAGTTTCTTTATGATTAGTGTAAATTTTGATTTCTCTCCTTTCAAACTAATTTGTTTATTTAACATATTTTAAATATTATTATGGGCTACAGAGCCTGGAGAAAACTTACAAGGACCGGTTGCTGAAATTGGGTATGTCTAGTTTAACGAAGAGAAGAATGAGGAGGGACATGATAGCAGTGTTCCAATATCTCAGGGGCTGCCACAAAGAAGAGGGAGTCAAGCTATTCTGCAAAGCACCTGAAGGCAGGACAAGAAGCAATGGATGGAAACTAACCAAAGAGAGAAGCAACCTAGGACTAAGGAGAAACTTCCTGACAGTTAGAAGAATTAACCAGTGGAACAACCTGCCTCCAGAAGTGGTGAATGCTCCAACACTGGAAGTTTTTAAGAAGAGACTGGACAGCCGTTTGTCTGAAATGGTATAGGGTTTCCTGCCTGAGCAGGGGGTTGGACTAGATGACCTCCAAGGTCCCTTCTAACTTTACTATTATTATTATTATTATTATTATTATTATTATTATTATTATTATTATTATTATTATTATTATTATTATTATTATTATTATTATTTTATTGAAATATTGAAATATTGAAATATAGTATTCACTAAAATATGAACATTCCCATTTGGTATTTGCCTGAGGAAAACCTGACTGAAGAGGTCAGTGACAACATTGTATGTTCCTGAATATTAGAGAAAAATCTTTTCAGCGAGCAAACAAGTAATCTCAAGATAATAACAAGGGCTCCCAATCCCCAGGCCATGGCCCACTACTGGGCCACTGCCCCTTTGGAACAGGGCCATGCAAGTGGCAAGTGAGTGTGTGCATGAGTGCAGCTCCACTTGCACAAGTAATGGGGGTGTGGGCCTGCTATACGTGCTCGCATGCACCACCACTCCCTCAAAACCGGTCCACCACTGCCAGTCTGCCACTGCCAGTCCCCACCCCCCTGCTGGTCTGCCAAGCTGGAAAGGTTGGGGACCACTGTTCTATAAAATACACCTATACCTAGCATCTTTGCCCCATGTCTGAATCAATTCTTTATGAGAAATTAGTGCAATGTTAGGGCTTTAGCAATTTGTATAACTAGCTCTTTACTGATCCCTACAACCTATTTTGGGAATTCTTGGGTCTGAATAGGACAGCATAAGTGCATTAAATAAAGAATCAAGGAATAAGTATTTGTGCATCAGTTGCACCCATTCCTGGATCAAGAAGCTCTATACACAATTACTCATGCCCTGATCACCTCCCAAATGGACTATTCTAATATGTTGTACATGGGGCTTCAACTTATTTAGAAGTTTCAACTTGTGCAAAATGTGCCAGTGTGGAAAGTAATATATGCCCCCAGAATGGCACATGTTGCACTTCTGCTCCACAACCTGCATTGGTTGCTAGTTTGCTTGTTTCTGACCTTTAAAGATCTACATAGCATGGTGCTTCCTTGTCTAGGACCTGTCTGTTGCTAGTTACACCTATAGTACATCAGGTCCAGCAGTAGGAATATATTAAAGATCCTGTATACTAAAGAGTTCCATCTGATAGGATCCAGGAAATAAGACTTTTCTGTTATAGTATTTACCATTTGGAACGTCATTCTCCCAAAGTAAGATTAGCTCTGACCTTTTGTATTTGCAGAATTCACTTTAAACATTTTCAATGGTCTTATGGATCCCCATGGTAATGAGAAGCCTGCAATATGGTAGCAATAGCAATAACACTTCAACTTATATACTTATATATACACAGTACTTTAAGCAGTTTACAATCTCAGCATATTGCCCTCCCCAACAATCTGGGTCCTCATTTTACTGACCTTGGAAGGATGGAAGGCTGAATCAACCTTGAGCCGGTCAGGATCGAACTCCTGGCTGTGGGCAGAGTTAGCCTGCAATACTGCATTCTAACCACTGCGGCACTTATTTATTTATATTTTATTTATATTTATTTATATTTTATTTATATTTATTTATATTTTATTAATTGTTTTAATGGTTAAGATCTGTTTTATTTGTTTTATTGTACACTTCCCAGAGTAACATTAGTAAGATGGATGGCTATATAAATTTGATAAATAATTAAATAAATGCACAATAATGTGTATTCCACTGAATAGATTGATAAACCTCCAACATGAATGAGTGCCATTCAGAAATTCCTTAATCATCTTCCTTTTACTGAGGTTGCTCAAATGCTTATTTATCCTGTCACTAATATAATTACCTTAACAAAAATTAAAAAGCTAGAATCAGACATAGGAATCAGGATTATTGTGGAGCAACAGGTTTTAAATGAAGTTCAAATATGCTGCACCATTCCTATTCTAAATAGATATGCATAAAAATCTTTCTTGATAATCTAGCGTGACAGTGGCTAACCTGGTGCCCTGAGATATTTTGGATTACTGTTCCTAGGTGCTCCATGGTGAGAGATTATGGGTGTTGTATCACAAAATATAAGACCAGCACTCAGTTCTCTCTCCTTGCCTTGATAGCACCTTTGTATGTATGTATGTATGTATGTATGTATGTATGTATGTATGTATGTATGTATGTATGTATGTATAAATCTTTAAAGCATCAGTTAAATATTGTAACTGAACACACGCACACACACACGCACATCTGTTAATTGAATACAGGCTAATAAAGCTCTCAAATTTAGTTCTCGTAACACCTTTCAATAATTTTAATTTCAATAATATTGATTTAGGTATAAGTTGCTTAGGAATTCAGCCCTGTACCAGGTTACACACATATAAACAACCCACTGTTA